ATCACAGTGGCAGAAATAATGGCCCCATCTCCCTTCCAGCTTCTCAATTATGAACAGGTGAACCTCAGAAAGTGCATTTAATTCACACCTGGATTCTCAATCACTAGGAGTTGGGGAAAGGTGTCCTTTTACAATTCATTTCCTCTGATACAAAAAAAAAAGAATAGATTGCCAGGTGCCAAAGACAGTACCTAGCATGTCTGAGCCCACATGCAGGAGGCGTGACTCTGGGTGACTGACTCTGCCTCATTAAGTGTCAGTTCTCTCCTGTGATGTCACAAAAATATGTTTGGTCTTCTTTCTTGGATTTTAGAAAAGAACAACTAAAATGTTTGAAATTCTCTAAGGGATGAGGGTGATAAGAGTGCCTTTTGTTGTGATGAAGCAACTCTTGGCAGGCCTCTGGATATTTGCAGAGTGAGGGCAGGTCACCAGAAAGACCAAGTTCTGTTCAGAAGCTTGGAATTTTCAGCTGTCAGTGTAAGAAATGTTTCAACCTGAAGAGAATTTTTATGAGTGCATTTGAGGCAAAAATGATGATAATTGTCAGGAAGAAGAATCTCAATGGATTGAGAAAATTTTCTGAAGAATGGCAATTTTTCATCTCATTTTATAAAGAACTGTCAAAGGAGAGATCTGAGAGATTACATGAAATCCATTGGCAATACATTAGGCACTTGGGGAAAAGAAAACTGCAGAAATCTTTGAGATTGTGTGAAAAGTAAAACAAATAGTCTCATACAAATACTAGGTTGGGTGGTACAGGAAAGTTAACAGTTAACCTCAAACACAACAACCACAGTAATGAGAAGGTATGTTGTCTCCATTATGGTGCAGTGAGGGGTTTGGAAATGAGTAAATTACCCTGACATTTTAAGATATGTAATGGTAGAGGCAAGAAGAAACCCACAGTTAAGGTAAAATTTGACCTTTCTCAAGATACTGGCCTAGGACATGACTGACCACCATGACTTGCTGTTGGTAAACAGTTTTAATTTCAAACCCTTCTGCTTGGTTATTTTAGGTTTCTGAGGTGTACACGCCAACTTTCAGGCCTCCCCTGGGCTTGTCAGTTTTAGTATGTGGACACTTTTGTGTCCATGTTGCCCCTTTCTATAGTAAATCCACCTAAAGGATACATTGGTGAGACATCTTATAGTAAGATAACATTGTCTCACAGTGCTAGGAAGGGATATTTAGGACATCTAAGCATCAGTGTTTATCCTGCTGAACCATAAACCTTTGGTGATGCAGCAAGAACTTAAACTTGGATGGAAGTCAAAGCCAAATGTTCTCAAAAGTAAAAAGCAGGTAAATGGGAGGCATTTGTTCTTACAGGCCTTTCTTTGAAAAACACTCTGGATCATTTCTAACCTATAAGCTATCATGATCTACGTTTTCCTGTCTCATGTCTCCGTGTTTTGCATCTTGTATTACATTTACTTATAGTTTGAGGTCACTCTATACAGCAATCCAGTTTTAATCATCTGTCTCTCAGATGGGTCCTTATTCATAATGGCCCAACTGTTATTAATCATGAATCAGATTTCTGCTAGTTGTACACCTGGAAGATGTAACCTTAAGATTTATTGGGGGATGGGGCTGTAAGAACACAATGTTGTAAAGTACAGTTACCATCTAAAAGTTCCACAGGTGAAGAGGACACTAACACTTTCACAAGTACCTTTCCTCTGCTTCAGCAGCAGGTAGGGAGGGTCCTCTTTTGAACCCACTTCAGCTTCCCTTTAAATTAATACAGTTAGTCATCCTTGTTGAGTTATGGTATAAGGACATTCAAAACAACTGTGGGGAGTCATTTCTGTAACACCAGGACAGATTAATTCTCTGTGTGACAGACTCATGCCACTGAATAATCACTGTGTGAAGATCACGTTTGTGTCACAGGTCATTACCATGACATGCTTATATTCTGTGACTGTAGTGTCGCTTCCTTGGAGGATGGTCATTTTCATGGGCTCTATAGAGAAACATATGATGTGACTTTTTGAGAGTGGACTTGGGACCTGTGGCCATGCTGCTTCCTCAGGGATCTCAGCCACACATAGTATGTAGTGGGCTCTGTAAAGTTCATCAGGGGATGGTCCTAGCCTGTGCAGGATGACCATTGTGATCACTGAGATGACAATGTATAAAAAGTTGACAGCACCTTCTCTCTGATGCCAGATTACTCCAGGGTGACCCCTGACTTATTCTGTGAACATCTCTGTAGTATCAGCACAGGAAACCAATTCCCAGTCCATGTGTCGTCCTCTAGCCATATTATCCATTAAATTATTTTTCGCATAAGCTTTTACTGATTCTTCCCTAGAAGTTTTTTAGACTTCAATAATGTTCAGGTCACACTCATCATGTAAAATTCCATAAATGTCAAAGAAAGCAGGCTTACCACTGCTATATGTCTCTGGGGCAAATAAAACTTTACTGTAATTGAATAGACATTTACCTCTCATTAAATAATTTATGAGGAAAGAAAGATGGACCAACCCAATATTCATAATCTTGGAGTCTGAGATGTTTCATCTAAATAATTTCTCAATTCTATGGGACTTTACTTTCTTGGACTATGAACAGGAAAGCTCTATGAAGTAAACTCTCTAGAGAGAAGTAGTTATGGTTTTGATAAAGGACAAGGACTGTAGACATACAAGGAAAACCTCTCTATATGTTAAATGTCATGCTTGAAAGCCTACAGCTAGCACAATACTGTCAGGAGAAACACCAAAAAAGTTACTAAGATCATGAACCCAATAAAAAAATGGCTGCTCTCCCCACTTATTCATCATTCTGCTAGAAGTTTGGCTGAAACATTTAGTGGGAAAGATAAAATAAAGGTATCAACATGCCTTTAAGCAAAAAGAAAGTGATTTATTTCATCAGACAAAACAATGTTACATGTAGAAAACACTAAAGATTTCATCTTCCCTCCAAAAAATGTTAAAACTAATAAATTCAGTGCAGTTACAGGAGAAAAACAGCATCATTTCATTAGTTTGCATCAACAATAAATATCTCAAAATTCAATTAAGAGAACAGTTCCATTTACATTACCACAAGCAAGATTAGAATACTTTGGAATAAGCTTAACCAAGGAGGTAGAAGATGTATACATTGGAAAACCACCAAAGATTTCTAAAGAAATGGAGTACTATGGAGCAGAAGGAAGGAGGAGCCCCCACCCTTCTGGACAGAATGGATGGAACTGGATAGCATTATGCTATGTGAAATAAGCTGGGCTGTGAAAGGCAAATGCCATATTATGTCACCTATAAGTGGAAGCTAATCAACAAAACAAACAAGTGAGCTAAATATAACCAGAACACTGAAATAAAGAGCAAACTGACAGAAACCAGAGGGTAGAAGCGAATGGGATAATAGAGGGAAAATAAGAAGGGTCATCAAGGAACATGGATTAAAGACACATGGACAAAGACAAAGAAGCATAAGATTGAGGGTGGAAGAGGAAATATGTGTAGGCTGGGTTGAGTGGTAGCAGGAAAATTGATAGAAAAGTTCTTGAAAAATAATAAAAACAAGATAAAAGATAATGTTTAAACACAAACATGTCAGTAATTAAAATAATTTTAAACAAACTTAGCCTCCAATTAAAAGAAAAATATAAAAGTAAAACTTTTCTTAATATCTTCACAGTATGTATTCTTATATCATGGTTATACAAGTCCTCACCCAAGTTACGCTTGTACATCCCACAGAAATTGAGACACAGGAACACTGGGATGATTAAATTTTATGAGATGGGTACAGACCCTTTTAATAGATACTCTCTGAATCATAACACTAGCAAGATAATTTTAAGGAGACTTGTGTGTATTCCAAGTGGCAAAAAAATTTGTAACTACAAATTGAAACTACATTTCTAAAGAGAATTCTCTAAAATATGGAGTCAGAGGCCTGCAATCAGGAAGAACCTGTCTGAAGGTTAAGGACTCTGAGAAAACATGAAGGCTTATGGGTCATAATGAAACGGCTTTCTGCACAGTGTAGGGAAACACAACTGCATCTCTTGCAGCCAAGACATAATTTGAACCTGTATCAGTTCCTGCAATTTGTAAAGAGGTGCAAGATAACTGACACTCCCTGAACAGAGCCAGAACCTGATCTCCAAGATGGCTGTGCTTCTGGAAAATTCCATTCAGACATATTTATCTCTACAGTCACTTTCCCATTCATCAAAATTAATCACTAAGAGAGGTATGTTCTTGACCCTACAATATGGCTGGTGTCACCTGATTTAGCCTGATTAGTTACCTAAGTGCAGAGGAACTGACATTCACCACATAGTTTGCTCTGATAAGGGTTTTACATGAAAAATACGATGGGAGTTTTAACAGCCTCTTGAAGTTAGGAAGCTTTACCCAAACACTTCACCTCCAGTTTCACTCGCTTTGGGTGATGTCTTTTCTGCAAGAGGTACCAAAATTCTAAAGATGTTAAACTTAGCTCTATAAAGTATGAGGTCTTTTCAAATTCCATGGGCATCAGTGTGAACTGGTATGTTTGAACTAAAACCTTGGTTTTATTACCAAAGTTTCCAATTATACCTCATTAACAAAAAGAACAGAAATGTACTGAACTCATGCAAATAGTTTTACTGACATTGAAAGAATACTCAAGAGACTTTAGAAATCTTTTGAACACGTTAAAGAGAAACAAAAATCAGTGTTGCTACTCACGTTGTTGTCCTCTTGTTCATTCCCATTGTCTATAACAGGGGCCCTCCACGTGTGTTCACAGACAAGACACAGAGCTCAGGTTCTCTAAGCTATTTACCTTCTCTCATTTGTTATCAAACAACTACTGCTCATCACCTGAGGGACACAGTGTCTCAATGACCCTTACGCTGTGTACATGGTACACATGAATCCAAACCATGGTGGGGGTTGGTCTGAAATGTGACCTTAAGTCAAAAATAATGAGTGTTGTCTTACATTTTCTAGTGTTTATTGACTCAGTGCAAATCTAAGAATTATTCACCCTCAGCATGAATCAACTATGATATTGCAAAAACTACTTTATTTAGAGTTTAACAACATAGAGGGGGAAAGAAAAGTCACTCAGATTTCACATCCAGTGTAAGGGATGCACTTGTAGCAGAACACATGGGGTTGAAGGCTTTACACTGGTAATCACCAGCATCCTCCCTCAAGACAGGGTATATGGTGAGGTTTCTGCGGTCACGTGACAGCTCCATTCTCTCTGTGAGCATCAGACTTCTGCCTTTGAAAAACCACTGGATGCCATGACTGTTTGTGTAGCAGGTCAAGACCACAGCATCCTTATTCTCTGTGACTGTGGTGTTGCTGGCCAGGAGGGTGGGCGCTCTCATTAGGGCTGTGGAAAAACAGAGAAAGTAACTCATTGAGAATGGGCTTCAGACGTGCAGCCACATGGATTCCTGAGAGAACTCAGCCATTCACAGCCCACAGTGACTTATGTAAAGGCCACCAGAGGGTGGTCCAGGCATTTGGAGGACAATTTTGTAGGTACAGGAGATTATATTAAGGAAAGAGCTGCAACTCCTCTCTGTCCCCATATAACCTCAGGCAAAATACAGCCAGAGGCACTGAAATAAAGAACAAAGTGATAGTATTTAGAGGGAGGGAAGAAGGTAATAACATGGAAAAGAAGGGGGAAAGGGTCATCAAGGAACATGTATAAAGGACCCACGGAGAAAGCCAGAGGGGGGAAGGATTGTGAGTTGGAGGTGGGGATGGTTGGGGTGAGGGGATGTAGTGGCAGGTAAATAGAGACAGACATACTGAACAAAAATAAAATAATAATAATTTAATTTTAAAAAGAGAAGAGGCAAGGATTTTAAAGTAGAAAATGCAGTCTTTTTGATGAATGGTGTAGAATAGCAATATCCGCATGGAAATTAATGATGTGGATCCATGTCTGATACTTCACAAAATTAAGTAAAAAATATATAGAAATTAATTTCAAATGAATATGAGAACTAACAACAATTAATTCAAATTATATCAAATTCTAAATGTTAGACCTAACTCTTTAAAATGCTTATAAAAAGTATAGAGAGAAGCATTATGACATTGAATTTGTCAATGATTTTATGAATGTGACACTAAGAAGACAGGCAAACAAATATAACATTTGGATAGTCTCAAAATGAAAATGTTTCTTCATCAAAACAGACATAAAACTTTGAAAGGTGAACAATGAAATGTGAGAAAATATTTTGCAAATCCTATGAAAAATAAAAAGCTAATATCTAGACTATACAAAAAAACATCTACACTCAACAGCAACCACAAAACCAAATAATCTTATTTAGAAATGGAACAAAACACTTTAATAAACATTTCTCCAGAGAATATACACAAATAGCACATAGTTACAGAAGAAGATGCTCAACACCACTCTTTGTACAAAAGTGAAAATCACAACTCTCAAGGTTGAATTTGTTTCTTATGATATTGGTTGTGATTAACTCTGCTCTGCAGAAAAGAAAAAAAAATGCCCTGTGTGGTACCTTTGATATCTCCAGAAGCTTCATCAAGCACAGTTGGTACCTCTCACCTCTTAGTCAACTTGAGTCTTAGAACTAACAAGGCAGGTCAGCATATCACAAGAACTTGTTTGGGAATAGAGCACTCAGAGGATGAATGTCCTCCAGCTATATATATGTCTGGAGGAAACTGCAGACTTTCTCAGGTGTCAGATCAGTATCAGTGTTGGTTAAGGGGATTCTGAGAGACTGCTGCAATTTCCTGGTTCTTCACTGACCACCTGAATGCCTGCTTGACCAGAGGCCATTCTGCCCAGATGCACAGACATCTATTGCCCAGCTGAGGTGTGTTTCTATGAAGCACTATTTCCCAGGACATCCTAGAAACTGGGTGGCATTTGAGCGGAAATAACATATAGAGACCAGAAGCAGGCCAGTGATAAGTTGACTGCTCATGCCCTGGGCTAAGAGGTAGGTCAGGACTTTCCAGGTGAATGTGACTGAAATGGGCCAGTGAGCCAATGAATGATAGAGCAGGGACCAAGAAATGATTTAGAAAAGAGGAGAAAGAACAGGCAGAAGTTGATAATGGCAGCAGAATCATGTGCTCTGCCCTTCACCATAAAAGCTATTCTATTTCTCCTGAGGGCAGGTGAGGACTTGTGTAAATGCAAAATCAGTGTTTTAGAGCAAGTGGGCAGCATGGACTTGCTGAAATTCTGGCACTTGTCGGCAATTTGTGTTAAGTGACTATGAGACAAAAATTGGAAAAAATCTTAAAATTCTTCTGTATGTGAAAATTATTAGTAATAGCCCAGGGCCTAAGACCTACAGCAAGTCCTATTTATTAGAGAAAATAAAAGGATCTGAGATGATGGTCTTAGTTCCTGGGACGAGGAAAGACTGTTCACTAAGGTGAGGATACCAAGGACTTTGCATCCAGGTTCCAGGCTCTGAAGAGATTTTGGATCATTCACTCATTCATTCAACCACCATTTGTTTCTTCCTAATTCATCAAAAGCAACTGAGTGCTTGTTAAATGTTCATCCTGAGCTGGTTTCAGGGGTAGAGTAGATAATAAGAAAGAAAAGTCCTTTGCTTTACATCTGCTGGGAGAGTCTGCACCAAAACAGGAAACAAATAAGTGATGTCAAGTCCAGTGCAGGGAGGTGTGAATGGACCACCTGAGGGAGATGCCTGGGTAATCTATGCAGGGACTCTGCTTGTTACTGAAGATAATGTAAATTTTTCCTAGAGTAAAAATAGATTGACTCCATTTTATTTCCTTCACAGACCAAAATTTATTCCTATGACTGAAGACACCTAATAGAAAAGGATCTGAACCACTTTGTTGGTTTAGGAATCTGAAGACTCCCTCATAAGGCCCAGAGGTAGAGAAATTAAGTCTGTGGCTACAAACAGAACTCTAGTGACTCTGATCACCTGCTCACAGTTAGTGTGACTCTCCTTTAGTGACCGTACCTTCCTGTTTCTCAGTTTCTTCTCAGTGAATATTTAGCTGCCAGGATATCCTTGTAATGACTGTAAAATGTTTTGAGGCTCTGACCTAAATCTTGAAATAGAAGAGATGCTCAAACAAGTCATCTGTTACTGATGACTCCCAGAGAGAACCCCTGGCTGATCCCTGGTAAATGAGGAGCTTCTAGGAGCATCTTTTTTTCTCAGTTTCTTTCTGGGGATGCTGCCTTTTCTCTGAACTTTCCTCAGACCCCCAAGATAGCCAGCTATCCACAATGACATTGTCTAATTCAGCTCTTCACACAAATTTCAGTGATAGACCAAAGTCCATTTCTGGCGAGATGTGGCTCTTCGTTATGAGACCTGACTGGAGATGACTGCCTTAGGAGCCTTGTGACTTGGGCACCCATTAAACTGTTACACACTCAGTTCTTCTGATGAGGCCACACCCAACCTAGCACAGGCTCACCAGGGTCCTTGGAGTAAAGATTCCTGGGACAGGGTTCTCTGGAAAGGTTTCTGAGCTGTGCTGTGTAATAATTTTAGGGGGTCTCCTTGACTGCTCTCATCTAGTACAGCAGAATCATTCTCAAGGTCAACTGAATAGGCAGGTGCTCAGAAGGCTGAAATTAGTCTGGTCTCCCTTTGCTGAATTACTCCTGTCAAATTGATCTTTCTGTCTGCATTGTCTGTGCAAGGTTGAAATCTGAGAAGGAAATAGAGGTCTTAGAAAGTTTGTCTGCATTTTCCATGTATCCTTCATTAAATGCCAAAACCCACCCTGAATCAGAATGCCAAGGGGAATGGAGGTAGTATCTAGGGTATATCAGTCCTGTGTTTGAAATAGAATTCACCCCACCTGACACCCAAAGGTCAGAAAGCAATCACTTACGGTATACAGTAAGCTGTCCACATGCTATCATTTTTTGGCAGCCTTGTAGTTGGACCAGTACAGTGTAGATTCCTGAGTGTTTCATGGTGACATTCTTTAACAACAAGGACCCATCATCCTCTACTCTGGCTTGTGCACCTGGAGGGCCTCTTACATGGATACTTGGGTTTAATAAAAGATATGCAATATTAGTACGGCTGCCAATGTTTTCTCCCCTGTACCACAGGAAGCCTGATGCACTGGGAGCTGTATGGTGGATATATAGATGCACATTTGTCCCTTCAAGAGCATCCTTTGAATAAACTGTCACTTGTGACGTGGTGGGCTGGATCCAGAAGTTTAAAAGTGAGACTAGGAAAGAAAAAAATGCATGATTATTAATATCTACATTTTGGGATAGAAAAATGAGGCCTTGAATCCTGAGCAGGTCTCTCTATGTCTCAGCCTTGTTCTGTAGGTGAGTTTGTTTCTCTCAGGTCAAGGTCAGAGACATGGCCCCTTTTTCTTCAGCACTTCTCAAGCTGCCAATTTTTTGGTTTCAAATACTCTTTTCCAGCTGTTTGTCTTGCTCACCCCTTCACTGTGCTCAGAGGCCACCTGATACTCAGAGGCACTTTTGAAAGGCACCTTTGCTGACCATCTTATCTAAAGATTCTGTGCCTTCACTTTCTGACCTGTCCCTACTTTCTTTTTTCATGGCTGTTGTGGGTACCTGATGTCACATCTAGATCCTTCCTTGTTCCTCTCTCCTCCATAGAAGATAGGCTTGATGACAATAGGGCTCACCTGATCTTGTACCTCCAGTGACTGAAAGAGCCTGGAAATACATGGGGTTGGGTGAATGCATGATCCCAGTGAGCTGTACATCCTGGGATTTATTTGCCCATTTCAAAGGTTGGTGATAAAGACCATGTGTAACACTTCTTGTTAAATTATTCTGATGCTTACTGATAAATCATTATATCAGTATCACAAATAACAGGAAATACACAGCAAATGAGAGTTTTCTGCCTCTTACCACTTCCAGATTATGAGATTTTCCTCTAGTTGAACCTCCTTCCTTGTCCTACCCTGCTCCTTTGTCCTTCACCCTGAGGTCCAAATGGAAGACTTTCCTCTTTTCTCAGAGCACTGGCCTATTCAGGAGATCCCAGCCAGTCTCTGTGTCAGATCCTTAGTCTACCCCAAGGAATTGTCTCCTACTTACCAACCAGCAGGAGCCCTTGCCAGTGAACAAGTCCTGTGTGGGTTGACACTGAAGAGGACCCCATGGTGTATGTTGTCTCTTCTGTGGCTGCCTCTTTGAGAGAAGCTTGAGGTTCTGTAAGGCTCACAGGCACCTCTGTCCAGAATGGTGCAATGTGCTGTGTGTCCTACCTGTGCGCTGAGCTTTTTTCTGGGGCATGTTTACTATTCTTGTCATGTGGGCTGTGGGTGTGGTCTGTTCAGATTTCCCTTCCTCTCCCAGCCCTCATTTTGTCACCTTTGTACCTTGTAATCAGCACTGATCCCCTATACTTTCATTCCCTGAGAACTTCTAAGGCCTCTCAATACCACACATACACAAATACACACTCCCTTTTTGTGTTATGAAAAGCCCAAGCCTGGGGTGTCTGGCTTTCAGACATTCCCCACAGCTCCCTGTCAGGTGTACAGTAGCCTTCCACATAGCCCTCACTCTTTCCCATTTGATTTTTCCCTTCAGAGCAGGAGTTCTAGAGCTAACTTTGAAAAAGCTGTCAAAGTAATGTCAACCCTCCTGTGCATTATTTCCCCAGTGAAACATTTTCAACATCTCTCTTTCCAGGTGACATTTTAAAAATGCAGCTTCATCAGCTGTCCAGGTAATGTGGGTGCCCATTAAAATTGTGATGGCTTCATATGAAGATAGCTTCTTTTCCTGCTCTCCTGTGAACAGGTGAAATCTCCAGATTCTCTTTTACTACCAATTCTAGGGCAGTGTGCCAGAGACTCTGCATCTGACAAGCTGTCAGGAGAGGTTGATCCAACTGGCCTGTGGGGTACACCTGCAATAGCAAGGCTGATGGGGGAACATGTGTCCCTGAGAGGATGACACACTAAGGCCAACACTGGCCACTGCTGACACTTGGTCTTGGGAGTGTCAGCACCACTCAGAGAGCCGCATGTGTCCTACAAACCTGGATTATTTCTGTTTGTGACACAGACACCCAGCTAGGCACTGGGTCCTCTCCATGTTCTCTTATGCTCTGAGGTGTGTTTTCCTCCCAGCATGAAGGTCACAGAGACAACTCTGGGTGTAAGCAGGTGTCAAATTTGGTGGTAATTGTAGAGAGGACCCTTCTGTTATCTTAAGATGGCACCAGACTGAGTTTTGCTTCCCAGGAGAAACACGCAAAACCAGGAGTCTGTGTATGACCTGCAGTTTTGGGGTGTGGAGTGGGATGTATCCTTCATGTCTCAGGCAGAAAGGACTGTGGGGAAAGTTGGGTGCCTACGGGATTTCTGTTTTTCAGGGTACGGCTTCATATAGACCACCCCTCCCCATGTCTGTTTGTTGGAACTGTCCTTGTGCTGCCTGGCTGTTGGGAGAACCTCTGATTTGTTCTTGGGTGGCTTTCTTGTGGTTATCTCATCTTGCCATGGATGATGCCATTCATGAGGTACAGAGCAGCACAGAACCCCATGAGGGAGGACATGCTCCAAGGCCTTGTCAAAGTAAAAAAAGTCCAAACATACAGATCAATTTAATGAGTTTATTTCAGCCAAACCAACTGGGAGAGAGGTCTCAAATCCTGTGAAGGTAGTTTTGTAGCTTATTTTATATGTTATAATCAAAGTAGAAGGTGAACAAGGATGCCTAAAACCTATTAGGAGGTGAGAGAAAACATAGCAGAGAAATCTCTAGAATTGGGTAAAAGGCAAAATGGAGAAATATATATTTTTTATGTTGATGGGTACAGGCTATTTCACATTTATAGGACACAAAGAATGTGTGCAGGGGACCAGATAACATAAAGAGTCTGTGGTCTCATACACTTGTCCTAGACTCTGTGTTTTCCAATGATCCAGCAAAGAAAATCCCTCTGATGTGTCAAGTTATGCAATTCAAAGAAAAAAAAAGACTTGAGGGCTCACTGAAGGTAAAGACTGACCTTTGCTAAGAAAAATTAAGGCTTGGGATGTTGCAACCTGCCATCACCTACCCAGCTATAAATTTCTACTGAGAATATCTTGTGAGGCTTGTCAGGCCTGCCATGTATCCCCCTGCACTTGTCAGGGTTGCTGCAAAGCCCCTTTTTGTGAACAGTCTCTATAAGTAGCAGGTGGAACCGAGCTAGCAAATGGGAGGGCCCGAGAAAAGCCTGTTGAAGCAGGGGATAAAAATCAGCCTCCTCCATCTTCCTAGGCAAATCCAAGATCCTGTGTCTATTTCATGTGTGTCTCAAAGTTGCTCCCTATAGGACAGAGGTGGACTTATAGCCAATGTCAGGTGATGCACAGGGATACTGACCAGAGTAGGGTGAGCTCAGTGAAAAGGCAGGCATTGTCTTGAATATTATGAATCCAGTGTCAGGAGAACTGTCCCTCCAGGGAGATATACAGTTTCAGACAGAGCTCTCTGCTTTCAAGTGTTCAAAGGAAGGGCCTGGTGAATATTCTTCAGAGGCTTTTGGAGGAGAGTGCTGGCCTGGAAGGCTGATCCCCAAAATGCCCTGTGTGTCCACCATCACTACATTGGGATGTTGCATATCAGTCAAAACTGTGCCCTGTCAGCCCACAGGGCTGAGGAGCAGGAGCATCTCTAGATGAATGAATACTCAACCAGGTGCTCTGTGTGTTCTGTTAGGGAATGAAAGTTTTGTATAGAAATCTTAGCTCCTCTGAGAAGGAAGCAACCATACATTTTGGATTCTCCTGTTCCTTTCAGCACAGGAAGTTTCCCTTGTTCACCAGGACATCATGACCTAGACAGATGGCTTCAGAAACAACAGGCAGGTGTCCCACATACTGTGAACTCTGTGAATGAAAAGTTCATCCTCACTGTTATCAGCTCGGGGTATACTCTCCTCTCCCCTGACAGTAACTCTTCTAGGGCTTAAGGATCCAGAGTTTCTGTCCAGTCAGGGATATATGAGAACATAAAGAATATAGGCCTGGGGTGATGAGACATAACTCACAAGGTGGGACTATGTAGGAATGTGAATTTGGGGCAATAAAGAGCAGTCAAACCCCTTAGTGTTACGAGATTCCTTTCCTTCCTCATGACTGTATGAGACAAATTTTGACTTACGGTGTTCCAAGCATGGGGAGGCCTCCTTTCATGCTGACACCAACAAGAATAAGATATATATGGGCCCTGTGCTTATTGTATTTGTTGTAACAGAGACAGGGTCTCAAATAACTCATGGCTCTAGGGAGTTACTTATAATCCAGCGAAGGGCTGTGAAGGAGAACTTTGAGTGCTTACACAGCATGTACTTGAGTCTCAGCTGATCTGGAGATCACAGAAAGCACTTCTGAGAAACTGATTTCTTGGCTGTAGCCTGGAGAATTAGTGGCCATTTTCCCCTTGATGAATAGAGGGTATTAAGAAAAAAGAAACCTGAGTGCAAAGGACTGGCCTGCAGTGGGCTGATGGTTGGTTGGATGGAGGAACAGATGCAGCCCACTGTGGGGAGCATGGAGATCTAGAAAGACAGTGTAGTGATTTATGCTGGTGAGGTTGGGCCTTGCTGGGATCAGGGTTGTGCTGAATGGGGTCAGCAGTGTCCAAGAAAGACTCTAGCTTGCAGGGTAATTCTGCCACAGCCTGGTGGACAAGCAAAAAAATGGGCAAGAAAATGTCATGTTATAATTAAGTATTTTTCTTTTAGTCTAGTACTTTTTATTCAACTTATACTTTAGGTAATATTTCATATATAATTATATATATATTTATTTGATTGTAGTTTAACATAATCAGATTAACATATTGAAAGTATACAATTTATGAAGTTTTCTTAGATCCATGCACCAGACAAGTTGTATCAAGAAAATAAAGACCATGTTTCATATTATTAAAGTCTTCTCATGCCCTGTTGTAATTTCTTTTTTCTTAACCTGTGCACCTCCTTTTTAGTGTTAAGGAAAGTCTCAGTGCAGGACTTCCATCCAAGATGGAGTCCTAGGTAGACACACTGTGCCTCCTTGCACAACTAAGATAGGGACAACAACAATTTAGAAGAAGAGTAACAACCAGAACTGACAGAAAATTGAAACAACTTGGAAGTCAGACAACCAAGGAGTTAAAATAGTCACGTTCATCCAGACCGGTAGGAGAGATGGTGTCGGACATCTGGGCTGAGAGGGGTTGCAGAACAAAGAATGATAGGACCAGCATAAGGCCTCCTGGGGAGCACAAGACAGCAGTGGGAGGTCCCTGGGCATGCAAGCGGTGGTTGGCAGACCCCAGCTGAGTGGTGGCAACTGGTAGACCCAGTGAGTAGGCAATTGTGAAGCAAGGAACTGCCCGCAAGGTGGTTGGCTGAACGGGTGGTCCTAGGGTCCCAGCACTGGGAAATAAAGCCTCGGGGCACTATTTGAAACACCTGTGGAGTGTTGAGGTGCAAGGAGAGACTCCCAGCCTCACAGGAGAGGTCATTGGAAAGTACCCATGGGGTGCACAAGCCCACCCACACAGGAATTAGCACCAGAAAGGCCCAGTTGGCTTGGGGGAAGTAGCAGAAAAGACTGAAGTCCCATAGAGAGCAGAGCAACCACCATTGTTCCCTCCGGGACCCTGCCCCCACATATAGCATCACAACCTAGTGACTGGGTTGTCCCACCCTGGTGAACACCTAAGGCCCCACCCCTCATATGTGACAGGCATGACAAGACACACACACACAAAAAATGGTTCAAACAGAAAAACAAATGAAAACACCAGAACCAATACCTTCAAGTGACTAAGAGATAGCCAACCTGTCAGATGCATAGTTCAAAGCACTGGTGATCAGAATGCTCACAGAATTGGTTGACTTTGGTTGCAAATTAGATGAAAAAATGAAGGCTACAATAAGTGAAATGAAGAAAAATGCACAGGGAACCAATAGTGATGGAAAGAACTCTGGGTCTCACATCAATGGAGTGGACCAGAAGGAATAAAACAACATATAATCAGAAAAGAATGAAGAAATAAGAATATCAAAAAAAATGAGGAGAAGCTTAGGAACCTCCAGGACATCTTTAAACATTCCAACATCCAAATTATAGAGGCACCAGAAAGACAAGAGGAAGAGCAACAAGTGGAAAACTTATTTGAACAAATAATAGAGGAGAACTTCCCCAATCTGGCAAAGGAAATAGACTTACAGGAAGTTGAGGAAGCTCAGAGAGTCCCAAAAAGT